GGGAAGATCCCCAGCAGGGGAATAGCTGGGTCAAATGGGACCTCTAGTCCTAGTTCTTTGAGGTATCTCCATACTGATTTCCACAGTGGTTGCACCACTCTGCACTAACAATGGTGAAGGGTTCCTTTCTCTCCACACCCCCACCAGCATTTGTTATTGGTTGATTTCTTGACAGCAGCCTAAATGACTTATTTTTATACCCTTAATCCACAGCAACAGCAGTAAGAAAAACAAAGTTCTGATTTAACATAACATCACAGAGATACACATATACATATCTTTACTTAAAACTTACCTCTACAATCTTCTCTCTATTTTTGGTTGGGTTCATAGGAGGTTCAGTAAGTAAGATTTTACAATTTCTGGTATCTATGTTGAGTTTTTCTGGTCCAAATGTATAGTCCCACAGGTGTTTCATGTCATCCCAATTTCGTACTATGCCATTTTCCATGGGGTAGTTAACCTCTAACATTGAGCGTAATTCACTGGCCTCATCACCAACCATAAGATCCTAGAAAATTATAATACCAAAGCTTTAGACTAGTCAAATGTTTACATAAAGAAGTTGCAGAAAATTATATTCCCATGGTGTTTCGGGAAATGTGGGAATAATTAATTTTAATCCTTCTGGGACTTTCACATAAGTTTTTTATTCCACAAGTTAAAAATCTTTTCTTGTAAGAAAAATGTCTTGGAAAATTTAATCATAATCAATTTTTATGTACTATGTGGTTTAAATCAATAAACTGACCTTACCTTTAATATATATGTTTCCAAAAGAAGAGCAATAGCACAAATAAACCCCATATTTTCATATTTTGGAAGGTTTGTATGAGGTTTCATCTGTTTCTTTTGCTCAAATGTTCAAAAAATAAGTCCTGTGATATGTGAAATAGTACATCAGGGAAAAAAATCTTATAGAAAAATGCTTGATGCATGCAGCACATTTTTTTGTACTAGATATCAGTGATAAATGTAGGTACTAGAATACACAATAAAAGCAAAAAATAAAATGATTCATTACTCTATAATAATACATTCATATACCAATTAACATAAATTTCTCAAACGTCTACCTACATGTCTGAACTAAAATTTAAATTTCTACAAGAAAAATAGCTGAATGTTTAAATTATAAAACTTACTATAAAACACACTGCCAGAACAATGAAAGAATATATTTGAATCATGTGAGAGTATTCTGAGGGGGATTACTAGCAATGTATCTTTTATTACAATTTTTTTAAAAGTAAATATTCAGGGCTAGGGATGTAGCTTAGTGGCACAGTGCCTGCCTGGCAAGTGCAAGGTCATGAGTTCAATTCCCAGTACCAAAAAAAAGGTAAATATTTAGTGTATTTTTGGTCACTCTGTATGCCTCATCAAGATGAAAATTTGGGGTGATATAAAAAAGGGTAGAGCTAAAAAAAAAACACACAAAAAACGGATAGAGCCAGGGATTAACTCAGCAGCACAGTGCCTGCCTGTAAGTGGAGGTCCTGAGTTCAATCCCCCATACCCCCCAAAAAACTAAGAATAAGGAAACAACTCATTCATTGGAATTATGTTACAGGCAAAGTTTTAATCTTAAAGTATAATACTGGAAATCTATACTACCACATAGGAAGCATAATACTCAACTCTTATCTCCAATGACGGCTTATTTAAGATGGCCCACACATTTGAAAAATCAAGTTTTGTATGAAAAAGACTAATAATGTCCTAGAGTTTAAACTTATTTTAGAAATCAGAGTCAAGACATTAAATAATCTTAATTTCTTTATGTGCTGACAAAATCAATTTTTAAAATATCAAAAGTAGATACTACTTGCTAAATATGGAGTTCAACTTATAGGGGAATGAGCAAATTAACTGAAAATGGAGGTTTGAAAAATATGAATTTTAAACTTTAGATTTCTGGAAAATCCACCAAAAGTAACATCACAAGCAAAAACAAAGTGAAAGCAGAAACTAGAAATGTTCACTGAAACTCTACTGCAACAAATTTTTTATAAAGCTTATTTTCCCATATTTAACACCCAAATTTCTTAACTTCTAACTACTTAGAATCTTCAGGGGAAGAAAACACAAAATGAAACCTCTGAATTTCTGAAGGCATGCATATGTTGAAGTATATAGGGAGAAGTATATTGGTACTTTGAAATATGAACATAAAATAAAAAAACCAAGATAGTTTGATGGGTGGATACTTCGACAGTACGTGAGAAATCAGTATTATATGTTAATGTCAGAATCTAGGTGATAAGTACATGGATTTCACTATAAAATTCTTGAACATTCTTATTATTTTAAATATTGCTTAGTAAATGTTAGGGGAGAAATCTGTATAACTTTTGGTTATTAATAAATATAATTTAATATTCTATTCTGTCACTTACTTTCCCCAATAATGAATATATCTTTCTTTGTGTTATACGAGGTAATTAATTGGTTTATAAAACCAGTTATTATTTAAACCAGTTTAGAATAAGTCTGATCTTATTTCAACAGAATACTTTTTATTCCATGCAAGAAAAAAGGCTTACAAATGTCTGACCCAATGCCAACTCAAAATAAAAAGTCCCATGTATCTACTTCTAGGACCATGCATACCATAAAGGATTAACTGAAAGGAATGTCTGGCACTGAGTATTCTTAGCTCCTTCTGCACAGAAAGGACATTTTTAAATGGAAGAACAGAAGTACCAACTTACTTGAAAAGTACAAAATTTCTTTATTAGACATTCAAGTTACCCAATTAAAAAAATTCTGTAGCTAAAATTTTTATTTAAAAATACAATCTTCTCTGTAATTTTAGAATAATCTTTCCTAGTACCCTTCAATTTTCCAAAGTAAAAAAAGGCTTAGAATGTTATGTAAATTGTCTTCACCCCCCAGAACCAAGTTATAAATGATCTGATCAGGCCTTAGGTCTTTACTATCTATTCCACTGCTGGACTTCAACCTATTATTTGAAAGAATAAAAAATCAACTATTAATTGAAAAAATGATTAAAAAAAAAAAACCAAAACAGTAACTGAAACATTGTCAGACCTTTGTTTTGCTAAAAGCAGGCAGTATAGATTATATTTGCCAAGAATCACTTTGAACAATGTCACCTCATAGAAAATAAAAACAAATTTAAAACCACAATTACATCCCTAAAAAGCAATTCCCTTAAAAACAAAAACAAAAACAAAAAAAACCTGTTAAATTAAGGCTCCACTGTTCTTTTCTTTACAAGTACATGATTTAAAAAAATCTTCAAGATTTTAAGAAAGGGGCTGGGGATGTAGCTCAGTGGCGCTGTGCCTGCCTTGCAAGCACAAGGTCCTGAGTTCAATCCCCAGTACATTAAAATTACCTCACTTATTAACTGTATATGATTCCATAATGGATGAAAATATATACACAAGGTATGACAGGCAATATTTTAATTTAGCACGGTCAATAAATTGAATTTATCCAAACATAACAACTTCACTACAATTTTTTGTATCACACATATCTTACAAAAGGGTACTTGGTTTCTATGATTATGCACACCACATTCCAGTTTAATTATAACATTCATCTACAGGAAAAACAAGGAAAACAATTCAAAATTATGTTAGTAATTAGTTCTTATTTGATCCATTGTATGCAATCAGGAAAGTATAGGACTTAATTAGTTGCTACCAAACTGAAGCAATGAAAAGGGTTAAAAATTAAAGTACTTAAAGTAAAAAATATGTAATCACCCCCCTCCCCAATATTAAAGGGACACAAAACAACAACTACTGTCCCACCAAGCAAAAGTGGAAAACAAACAGAGAGCATGTGTGTAACCTCACTTACCATCTTTTTGTTATTCTACTTCAACAGGTCAAGAAAGGTGAAGAAAGAGAAGGTAGAAGTAAGAGTCAGAAAAGGCCTAAATAAAATCCTCACTGAAATTTTTAAACATACAAGCAACAGAGACAAATTAGGTTGAGGTCAGATGTAGTACTATTATATTTTATGGAGTTAACAATTAGGGCCAAATTACCATGGACAGTTATTACTCCTGTATGAAAATAAACTAAATAAATGACTTAAATTTCCATATTTTTAGTCTATCATCACATTTTAGCTAACAAGACACACAAATACAGGTCAATCCACTAAGCACAGATATTCCAAAGAGTCAAGTTTCTTTAATTCGTTACTGAATTTAAAAACTTTAAGGAAAATAAAACAGTTACAGCAAAGGTCTAGCTCAGCAGGCAGAGGGTTAGTTCAGGGTTGCCCAAGCACTAGTCTAGTATACAGGTTAAAATTGACAGCAGTCTACTTTTTACTGGAAAAACAATTTAACTTGAAAGGCTTAAAAGACTGAGCACAATGAAAAGAACTGAGCTAACAGAATACAGAATGACAAACTGTATTAGCAATATTATCAGGGAATTCTTCGGTAAAAATACCTTATTAGAATATCAATAAGTTTATAATATCACTTGGCCTTAAAAAAGCAAGAAAGTGGGCATGAAGAGATATATATTTGTCCCTAGGTTGGAGAATAATAATGGCTATACATGATGTACCTTTATGCCTCAAAAAAATTTTTGTCCATAAAGTCAGACACTAAGTAAAAAATATTACCCTCAAACAGTAGTTTGCCCTTATCACTATTATTAGCTAAATTTCAAGTTGAAATTCATTTAAAATAGAATTTAATTAGAATGGAAGGAGTTCACAAAGAGAATAAGGAATCTCATAAATGTCCCAAAAGAAAAGATCCTTCATTTTGAAAAGCCTTATATTGAGTGTACCATTTTTGTTTTTATAACTCAAGAGGCCAGAATTCACTATTTTCAGTCTTTTAAAAATTAACCTTGCTGGGGATTTAGCTCAGTAGTTCCGGCGCCTGCCTCACAAACGCAAGGTCCTGAGTTCGATTCCCAGTACCAAAAAAAAAAAAATTAACATTAATGGGCCTGGGATTTAGCTCAGTGATGCTGCCGCCTGCCTCGCAAGCTCAAGGTCCAGAGTTCGATACCCAGGACAAAAAAAAAAGAACCTGAATTTCAGTTTCTATTTTTGTGTATTGTGTAACTCAACTCTCTACTCCCAACAGCAGAGATCTAAGAGATCTCTACCACCTACTACTATCCTATATATCTTAAATGAATGTCCCAAAGAGGTACACCCTAACTCATAATACAAATAACTCATAACCTAACAGTTCACTGAAGTCTTGCCAATGACTCTCCAGATAAAACCAACAATGCTAGCTTGTTCACAAAGAATTCACTTAGAGTCCCCTATATTCTACTGCATTCTGTACAGTTTGATCCAGGCCACCTGAAGAATTTAAAATCAACTGGTGACCACTGTCCTTTTGATTGTTCTATTTCTTTCTTCTAAAATAGCTGAACTCCCAAATGATTCTAATCTGGTGGGAGAAAAATCTATCATTCATATGTCAAGCTTCCTCATGCTAAGTACAGCAAGCAGGCAATGACAATTTTCCCTCCTCTCTCCTTATTGTTAAAATACATAGTGCAAGGCCAAATAAAGATTTGCAAAGCTTGCTTCAGCACATTATGGAAATCAGTTATATTAGTGAAAAGAGGAACCAATGAAATTTACATTGTGTTTTCCTGACTAGCTACATTAAAAAATGAAAGCATGGGGGAAAACATCTAAGGTCCCAAAGCGACACTAAGATATAATGACAAATATATCAGTGAGACATAAAATTAGATTGGTTTCTTTTAAAATATATAATAGGACTTTAATTACTAACTCAGTGTTTTGCATTAATATTTAAAAAATTATATTCCAGGTTGCAATGGCATTAAGAAATCTATAAATAAAATGAGATACTAACTTCAGTTTTTGCATCCTTGTTGAGGTATTAACATAAATTAAAAAGGAGAAATTCTACCTTCCCCTTTTGCTTTTCATGACATCATATTTTAAAAATACTTAATTCAAAGAACATTTCTCATGTCTTAAGAGTCATTTTAACAATAAATAAAAATATTACCTTGATTTCAATGTTTCCCACTTTGGTGGTTGATCTGATAATAGGTCTGCCAACCAAAGCAGGGAAGATGTGCTCTGGAAAGTTAGAGCCTGCATATCCACACTTCACAAACTGCAAGTAAGGAGTAAAAGTGGGTTAGTATCAACATACTTACTATATTTATTTAAAAACAGCATTCAAGGGCCAGGGATTTACCTCAGTGGTTCTGCCGCCTGCCTTGCAAGTGCATGGTCCTGAGCTCGATCCCCGGTACAAAAAAAAACCCAGCATCTGAAAACCACCACTTTGCAATGATACAATATTTTATTTTGTATTTTTTGATACAATATTTTAAAATTATACTGCTAGGTGTGGTGGCGCACACCTGTGTTCTCAGCGCTCTGGAGGCTGAGGATCACTTCAAGTTCGAGACCAGCCTGGCCTACACAGTGACTTCAAGACCAGCCTGAACTATGTGTCAAGACCTTGTCTGAAAAATATATAAACAAACAAACAAACAAACTTATAGTGCTTTCAAATCACTCCAAGTAGCCACCCACTCTATTTCCAACACACCTTTTATTTGTTTCAAAGCATTAGATCTGGAGTTCATGGTTTTTTGTTTTTATTTTTGTTTTTACCAATTAACTGTTTATTGGTGCCTACATACCCCCAGTAAAGGGAAGCCCCACAAGAGGAGGCGGCATGCCGCCTGCCTCATAAGTGCAAGGACCCAAATTTTATCCCCGGTACCAAAAAAAAAAAAAGTAGGCGCCAAAGCTGAGTAGTTCATGCTGGAGCCTGATGTCTAAACGTCTTGGTGCACTGTGGTGACTCAAGCTGTACCTGGGTATGGACAGGTTCACTCAACAATCAAAAAATGCTAAGGTTTTGGTTTTGATTTTTAAAAATGGACTTGGCATGACAGCAGACACTTGTAATCCCAGCACTCTGGAAGACTGAGGCAGGAAAATCACAAGCCTGTAATTTATTGAGACCCTGTCTCAAAATAAAGCAACAGACCTGAGGACCAGTGGAACAGATTAGAAGATGCAGAAACAACTCCAGACACATTCAGCTACCCCATCTTTCACAA